CTTACTAGCGGCAAGTGAGACAAGATAAATGGGAATTCCCTAGTCCCAGTAAGCAAAGCAATCCTAGCAAAAAACGTTTGAATATGAGCAACTAACTATGTGGAACGACTAGGGCGGAGATAAAAAAAAGTATGATTTTCAGTCGTCAAAATAAGTCCTGCTGCTATAGCAGGAAGTGAGCAGTGGACAGCCGATGCTGCGAAAATGCTCCTTAGGGAGAATTATTCATATCGACCAAGAAAGTTAAGCTAGACGGATTGCTTAAGGTGCGGTTTTAAGGAGCTCATCAGTTGGACAAACCATGTGTTTTATCATTGAGCAAATGGAGTTGCGCTTTCGTCTCTTAAACGTTAACCTGTGATACCGCGCGTAAGGAAGAATCAATACGCATAGGAAAGGAATTATTTCCCGCAGTTAGATTGTCATTTCTACTGAAGAGTGTGCGTCATGGTATCCGGGTGGCAGGTCTTAACAGTGGTTAGTTCGAAAAAGCGAGACACAAACGAAACATACGTTAAATACCTGCTTTTGAGACAGTTCAACTTTTTTGGCCTCTAAGAAGACGGCTGGCACACCTCCCGGAGTGGACATGGCAGATAAGAGGAGATCCCATAGTTCACTTATGAAGATACGCGCATTTTTGCTAAGCAAGAAGCCAGTCATGTTGATTTGGATTTCCTTTGGATCGGGATGCTACAAATTTCAGGAAAAAGGAACGAAGAGACGTATGATGAAGCCCGGGTAAATACGAAGGGGAGAAAATTGCAGTTTACCGCAAAGATTGAAATATCTACCGGGAGGAATGATGCTCCGATTAGACTACTTAGTCGTAAAGGAAATCTTCAACCGATCACCACCTAAAAGCCCACAAAAACTGTGTGAAAATAAAAAATGAAAGCCATCGACGACAAATATATCAACAGAGTTAATACTGTGCGAAGTAAAAAGGATATTCTATTATTCCTTATCCTCGAGCTTTAAGTAAAACACTACTGTAAAACTATAGCAAAAAGAGGCTTCTAATAAAAACATAAACCAGGGATATCACGCCAGTATGCAGACGATGGGGCATTAGGTTGGGACTCCCAGCTTGGCACGTAAACTTAACAAAACCAATCCATGAATGAGTAGCACCGTAAAAAGACACTGACACAGAACCTTATTTGGCGCAGTCTGTATGCAAAGTTCAATTCACTAGATACATGACTAGGACGGGAGTCAAGGAACAGCGATGCTGCGACACTTTAGGATAGGTAGGCTACAAAGGAAACCGTCTTCGTTACACCGATCAAAATAAAGAAAATCAACCAAATTAGCGTCAGGGTATTCGGCCGAATGAGCACTGGCGATTCAATGACCCGATAAAGGTTTAGAGTTCTGAGGAACGCGCCAGAGTATGGCAATCACGGATATTTCTTTTCGAAACTGTTACACCGCAACATACTTATCCAAACGACGAATTAAGGAGTAAAAACCGAACGTGTAATTACACATCGAACGGTTGTGGATATAACACTAATCCGGTTGAGTGTAATTTACAAATTAAAGCTTACACTAGAGTAAATGAAATCCGAGGCACATAAAGCACTGCAAATAGTGTAAGCATGATGATAAAATCAGGAATATGGGCCAGCGATTATCATCTATGAAAGACTGAAAATCAGAAAAAATGCTTACATATTGAGTAAAAGATAATTATAAAAACAACAACGATAGCACGTATCCTAAGACATAGCGAGATGTTAGGTCTACAACAGCCTTTAGTGGACTTGGGAGGCAGCTATCCACGAAAAACCCGAGAATGTGGTCGAAACTAATCCATAACGCGAATTTAACAATGGGCATCGACGAATTTTTACGTGCCTAATCGTGACAGCCGAAATGAGTGAAAAGCATGTCAACAATAGGTGCGTTAAATTCTGGACGAAAGAGGACTCTTCTTGGATGTAAGCTGAGAACACACAATTGCCCAAGCCTCTGTCCATCGTTCCAAGGATAGTTTCGAAGTCACGAAGAGTCAGTAACCTAGAACAAGGAATGTCTCGTATAAGAAATTTCAACGAAAACAAAAACGTCAAAAATGACCTGGTGAAAAGACGACAGGGCGAGTGGGGATTCAAACTTAACCCCTTCTTGGGACTCGTGTTCGGTAAACAAGATAATCAATTTTAAAAGATAAAAACTCGAATGCGAGCGCTTCCGTGTAGTCTACCTTTAAGGAGATTTTTGTTACTTCGCCTACGACCACTTTAATAAAATGCATGGGAACCATGGAAACCGAAAATACTTCGGGTTACATCAGTTGGAAGTACTGCCTTAAGGTCCTGGGTTCCACAGAAGTTGGAAGGCGATTGTGGGGAGGAATGAGGGACAAGTCCAGTCAACAGTTTGATGCCCTGAGTAGTGATGGTTTAATTCTGGTTCGCATCGTTTTGCGAAACATGTGCAAAAAATTACCACGCAGTACGCCCTAGATGACGTTGCGTGGGATAAAATTGGCCAATGGAACTTGAAAATTCTAATACTAGTTTGTTATGATCAATAATAAACACGACCTTCGTTAATCCAACACAAATATTTATCCGGACAAAGTGATTGCCGAGATTTACTACCTGTTCAGATAACTGGTTGAAAACGTAGTCGCACAGAATGTCATCCTCGTAGGTAAGGAGTTCTGTAATCCTCTTAACAATCCACGGACGAAGTGACTCAACATTTACTTTGGTCATATCAACCTGACAATGAGGTAGTAACCAGAAGGCATACCTTCTTGTTGAGATTGTCACCGAACTCCATACTCTTGAGAAGCTTCTTTTTCTTGTCTGCAAACCGAGAATCTTGGTCTGCACTTGTGCCCTAATTAACTATTAGAAGGACAGTATATAAAGAAAACACACTTTAAAGAAGCCAGCATCTGTCATCTTCCGCACTCACGTCAAAGCGAATAATTTGGCTGAATCATTTAGCATCGGTTAAAACAAACACTTTACATTAATCTGAAATTTTTAGTAGTCAGTTATGTTAGGAACAATATACTTCGCGACTTTAACCCGAAAAGGTGTTTAGCACTGCAGCACCCAGGATATGGATTTGAAACGTCACGTTGAATGATAGCATGATATCTGAAATAAAAATCATGGTGCACCTAGAGAACGCCAAAATTTCAATCACAATGTTGAGAATAACAATTAATAGATAATTAGGTGGTAAATTGGCATACCTAAAACTGAAAAATTATCATATGGATAGTTCGAATTCTGGTTTCTGTTTTTCAGTCTCTTTACATAAGCTATCGTGCTAGAACTAATAACGCGGAACGATGACTCGTTCGTTTAAGTCACTTTATTAAGGGAAAAAGGCTTTCTCCCTTGAGCTCCCTATTCATAACCAAAAATCGCAAAATAGGT